ACGCAGTTGTTGCAAGCGCAAGCGAAAACGCGACCGACCAGAAAACATCCTGGGTGCAAGCAAAGCAGAATTGATTTTGCTCGAAGCATAGGGAAAAACGCAACTGGTCGCAACAATCGGCCGCGGCTCACAGCTTCTCGCATCGTCAAACTCTCGGAATGCCCCGACTCTTTATCTGGAAGACATAACGGCTTCGTTTAACGGTTACGGATGGGGAGATATATGCCTAGACTCTTGATCTAGAAGACACAACGACTTCGTTCAAAGTCCGGACCATTTTTCCGAAATATCCCGGATATTTCGATAGTCGCACTCCAGACCATTTTTCCGAAATAATTATTCCGGATATTTCGACGATAGCATTTCCCGAAATATTTGGAATATTTCGGGAAAATGGTTCTTAAAATATTCGGAATATTTTAAGAAAATGGTGGATGGCTGCGATTCCCGGACCGTTTTCCCGAAATATCTAGAATATTTCGGGAAATTGGTCCCACAAAAAATGAAGCCACTATGTCTTCCGCACATATGCCCGGGGTAGCCCGGACAGATTTGAGCGAGCGATCCGTAGGAATTATGAAGCGGTTACATCTTCCCGGGGTAGTCCGGACCAATTTTCCGAAATATCCGGGATTTTTCGGAAAAGCGGTCCGGGAAAACGCGCGCACGTGCGACGAGCAAGTTTCACGGTTTCGTTTTATAGAGTAAATATTTTTAGTAATTCTGGCTCGAAAATTATAAAAAGATAATTCATTTTGGTAATTCGGATTTAAAAATTATAATTTTTAATATAAATATAATTAAAAAAACATATTTTATTAATTCCGTTTTGAAAATCATTATTTTTTATATAAATAAAATAAAAAAGATTAATATCGTTGATAGATCCGGTTCGAAAATCGCAATTTGAGAATATAAATATAATAAAGAACATATATTTTGGAAATTCCGACTCGAAAATCGTAATTTGCCGATATAATTTTTAATAAAGATTATAATCCGAATTCGAAAATCGTAATTTTCAATTTAAATATAATAAAGACAATTTATTTTGGTAGCTCCGGCTCAAAAATCATAATTGATTAATATAAATCTAATTTAGAAAAAAAAATAAAAAATGTAAGGAATTATCCTTACTAGATCCGACTCGAAAATCGTAATTTGTGAATATAAATATAATAAAGGTAATGAATTTTGGCAATTCCGATTCGAAAATCATTATTTATCAATTGAATTTTTAATAAGGAAAATGATATTGATAATTCGAATTCGAAAATCATAATGTTTAATTCAAATATAATAAAGAAAATATATTTTAGCAGCTCCGATTCGAAAATCACAATTGGTCAAACCAAATATATTTGAATATTTCAAAGAAATATACTTAGCAGATCCGGCTCGAAAATCACAATTTATCAATATAAGTGTAATAAAGGAAATTCATTTTGGCAGCTCGGGCTTAACAATCATATTGTTCAATTCAAATATAATGAATAATTATATTTTAATAATTCCAACTCGAAAATCATAATTAATCAATCTTAATTAAATTTTTGGAAGACTAGTAATATATGGAATTAAATACAATATATTAATTCTTTTTATAATAAATAATAAATATATATTTAAAAATACATTTATAAAATATAATATATAATTATTTGATTAAATATAGAAAATATAGAATAAAATTTAGATTCCTTGTTAATAAATTTATATTTATATTGAATCAATATATAATATTCGAATCAGTATCATTTAAATTATGTTTTATTTAATTATATTTATTTTAAATAATTAATTATTATATATTATATATGTTTTTTTCATAATTATATTTATATGGAAAAATAAATGATTTTCGAGTTGGATTATAGTTCCTTTATTATATTTATATTAACTAATTATATTGTTGAATTGGAATTATTAAAATATATTTTGTTTTTTAATTTTATGTTAAATATATATATATATATATAATTTTCTTGTAAATAATATAAATGAATATGTTCGATTCAAAATTATTCAATCACATATTCTTTCTATATTCATATATAATTGAGAATGTTCATATTAAATCAATATTTAAAAAATATCAATATTTATAATAATCGTTTATAAATCAATATCATACATATACAAAACCAAATAAATATAAATATAAATAATTTCTAAAAAATTATTATTAAATATAAATATATAAATGTTTAATTTCAATAAAATTAATATCTCGATTTCAATTTAAATTAATTTGTCTATTGAATTCAAAATTGCTAAACTAATATATTTTTTTAAAAAAAAACATATATTTTTTCAAACCAATATAAAATTCCGCAAAATTATTATAAACAATCCAATTAAAATAATTTTCATTTTTAATATTTCTTTTATCATTATAAAATATTCGATAATTCTCTGTATTTTAAAACATCCTAATATTCTCCTTATAATTCGGGCAATAATAAATAAAATTCCAATCCCATCCAATAAATAATCCAAAATATTTCTATATCAATCAAATCATTATAAGAATCAATTAGTATTATATATTACAACAAGAGGGCGGGTCGGCATGGGGGCTGAATTTTTCAGATTCCTGGGGGCTGAGTTTTTCAGATTCCTAGGGGCTGAATTTTTCAGATTCTTGGGGACTGATTTTTTGAGATTTCTAAAATCTGAATTTTTCAGATTCTTAAGGATTAATATTTTTTTCCATTAAAAATACTAAACAATATCAAAAATATAGGATCAAGACCCATGACCTTTTAGATTTATTGGGGTGCGTTTTTCTTTTTTTTTGCTGCTAACATACAAGTACAAATTCATGTTCGATCCAATAAAGATTTAGATATATCCAGACCTGGAAAATAAGCTAGCTTCAAGCTATACAGAAAACAACCTATTAAAAATTATATTGCACAAATATCATTATATTGCATACAAATATTTAACATACAAATATTTAACAAACGTGTGTCTATAACGTATTTTTGGATAATTAATATGTTTATACATGCCAAATTTATAAACCTCAGGGTGCTAATTTTTGCAAGACATATATTTAGCACAAATCTTTAATAAAATTTATATACATATGCAATATTTTGGAAAAAAAAATATTTAGCAATCTAAAAATAATTGTATATTTAAACCAAATAGTAGTATTATATTATTATTCTAAAATATATAAATATAACAAATATAATTCATTATATATATAAAATCATAAAAATCAAAAAATATCATTAATCTATACAATTACAAAATTCAATTCTTTTTACAATTAGATATTCAATATTTCAATATATATATATAAGCTCTATCCATGCTCTTAAGAAAAACAACTAACACAAATATATTTATCGCAAAATAAACTAAAACAATCAAATCATAATTCCAATCTAATTACTTAAATTCAAGAACCATCTCATTATATTATAAATATTTTATATCAAGAAAAATTACATCAAGAAAACATCAACAACATAATATCTTCAAATAATATGTTCCAAAAATAAACAAAAACACAAACCAAAAACCAAACCCATAACCCTAAATTAAGAAATACAAATAATAAACCATTTTTTTAGGATTTACGTGTGTTTTTACTAAAACACATCAATTCCCAACAATCTAAAAATTCAATCCCCGAGAAGAAAAAAAAATCAACCTCCATAACAACCCCTTCTATAGAATAAAATCCCATATATTAAATATAAAAACCATATTTTATTTATGAATTTAAATTCTTAATAAATATAAAATATAAATAATCAAATCACAAAATACATAATTTAATCGAACAAAAAACAATAACAACAACAACAACACATATAAACAAATATCAACTAAAAAAACGAAAAAAACAAAAAAAGAGAAACACAACGCAAGAAACGCGACATAAGAAAGCACAACAAAGAGAGAGAGAGACGACAAAGAGAAAGAAAAACAAACAAAAGAGGAAAAGAGAAACATACAAAGAAAGAGAGAGAAAGAGAATAATTAAGAGAGACAAACAGAAGGAAAAAGAAAAACAAAAATAACAAGAACATAAATAGAGAAGGAAAAAAATAGATACAAGAGAGAGAGAAGGGGACAATTAAGCGTGGTTCCAAATCATAGTTCTAATGTTGTTGAAATTTGCTCCTCCCGGCTCCGAACATTGCTGGTAGAATATACAAGTCTCATATAATATAATTACAACTTTGCTTTTCTTTCCGTCATTGACCACACAAGCCGGAATGTCTTTATACATGACCGGCGTGTGGCTCAGGTCTTGAAACTTGAAAGGACGAATCACGCACGGGAAATCCTTCAAAATTGACATGGAATATGGCCAAACAGCCTCACCCCTCCCTCAAGAACAGGGTCCTTTAGCCACCCTTTCCGGGTCTAGCATTACCTCACCAGGATTCCTGTATCTATATCTTGGGGAAATCCCTGCATTTTTCCCAGGCCCCAAAGGACAGTCCTGCTCAAGATTCTGCGGGAAGGTCCAGCCACGTGCGATGTGGTGCTTCTTCAGCAAAGACTGGCTTCACCAGCTTTTCGCCCCTGGCCACACGTTAAGCCCTTCCCAAACCAGAATTGCACGACTGCCAAGCACGTGGAAACACATGAGCAATTTCCTTGAATTTGAAAACAACACAAACACATTGAAAACAACACAAACACAAATGCAGTTCAACCACACATTGCTTGCGTGCTTGCTTGCTTCAGTGACTGTGGGAAACATTTCTGGGCAAAGGCACCGTAAAGGCAGTGTTTTGAAACACCATTTTTCCCCAGAGGGTTTTTCTGGGTACCTCCTGAGGATGGCGTTTTTTTGGGGGAGCTCCTCAGAAGGTGCCAAGGGACCCCTCGTAAGGGTAGCGACCAAGGCCAAACCGCCTCAAGATGCTCTCGGTGAGGTGCACCAACTTCAGGCTGCAGCTGGGTGGAAAGAAGGCGAGCACCTCGCGCCTGGGCGAGTTGAGAGGGTCTTCACCCTCTTTTTTGGGGGGGGCAGACCCCGCTTAAGAGGAAAATGACCCTACCAGCGATTCCATGGGTTTGTGCACAGAGCCCTGAAAGACGACTTTCCTCTTGGAAAGGGCGTTTTTGCACTTGCATGTTAGTTGCACTAAAAAGACACACCCACATCTCTTGTGGAAACTCTCAGGAGTTGATCATACCCAAGCTCACGGCGAGTGGTTGGAAGTATTTGTTTGTTAGCACCCTCAGTTTAAAGTGAAAAAGCTGAAAAAGGGCGCGCTTTGGATAACTGGCAGCATGAATGGAATCGTGAATCTTAGGGGTTTCCATTACCCCAAACCACTACCCTCCAGGGAAGCATGGGGTATGGGCGCCCCTCGAAAGTTTGCGATGCCAGGTTTTGAACTGCAACTACTAGTTGTCGCAATTGGAAGGTTCCGCATCTGACCTCTTCTGGGAATCTGTCCCTTGAGCCTCCCGAATCACAATATGTTCTGGACTATATCAAATCTCTCGGAACGACAACTTACGTGTTCAGAGCTGTACTTCCACCATCTCGTTAACCACTGCTATAATTTCCGTGGGGTCGCAAATCCCGACCTCCAGCATTTCGGTGAACCCGGCGCCTTTCCTAAGATGGCCTGTCAATGTGCCAAATACAGGGATCCTTACATTATACACCTGAACATTGCCTTGTAAATGGTGGTTTCCCTGTGTTTTGGTGGAAAAAGCCATGTTTCAAATGGGAAAAATGGTATCTTTTAAGGAGCCCTGAAATAGTTGGCCTTCAAGACATGCTCTACAGGTTTCAGCTAGCTTGCTCCAGGTGCCCGCAGCTGCTTCACTTCCACGAGCGAGTTTCGCTGCGCGCTGGGCCAGTATCCATTGGCAAGCGCAGCAGCTGGAGTTGCCCGCCCAAACCGGCTGGCTGAATTTGGGTATGAAGATCAAGCACTCAAGCCTTCAGTGACGCTTAAGTGTCTCAAACAAAGACAACAGCTTCCGTTGGGCGAATCTCAGAAGTGGCCCAGAGGGTAAGTACCTTCTAAGGAGGTACTCAGACCCTTTCCACCCCCGAAAAAAGCCCTTCTGCTTCTGGGGCGCCCCAAACCATGCCTTTGGCTTCGACTCAGCTCCGCGCTGCCCAGCTTGCGCTGCGAAGTGCACTGCGGTCTTGCCATTGGCAGCCGGTGCCAACGGATCCACCCCGAGCTCCTGGCGGCTGCGGGCTCCCAGGGATGCGCCCTCCAAAAAACGCGACTCACTCCAGGCTGACATAGCAGACTTGATTCTCGCGGCAACATTGAGATTGGCAGTTCCAGTCCCCAAATTGGTTATTTGCGCAGTTTGGATTCCTGGGGTCTGGCTCAATATGTGATTCATGGATGGGGAATGCGCCCTCACACTCGCCACCTATTAAAAACAACAAACATATGTTCGGCCCAAGGATATGGTTAAGTATTGTTGAGTAGGAGGTGATGGCCGCTACGATCTCAGGCTCACTTGTTTCCGATTGGGTGGAATCAAGAGGCACAAGTGAAGGACAGCAGAAAAGAACCCAATCTCGCTTTGAAATTGAATTGACGCACTCTCCCGGCAAAAACACCTTTTGTCGTGACGGCTTAATCCATTTTGTGGTCGACAACCTTTCTGACTGCGCCCCCAAATTCGAAACTGACATGCACCAGGCACCGTTCCCCCGAACTCTCCTGAAGCAACTCCAAGACGTTGACATGGCCTCTGGCCGCCTGGCTTCGTTCGAGGCTCTTTTCAACGGGAAGCCCCTCAAACTCTTTTGTGGCCCAACCAAAACAAGTAGAAGGCAAACCTGAAAGTGCATGGCCTTTGGGGCAGTTTCCATTACGAAATGGAATTGCAGGTTCAGAGATGCAGCACCGGTCGTAGACGGTCAAAATACAAATGGGTCTGTCTCAAAAACGGGGGTATACCCCAAACTGGCCTTGGTTTTCCCTTTGCCGTCCCTGTTAAACCACCAACACACATGCCAAAAGCTAGCTCTACCATGCCCCACAGAAGAAAACATAAAAAACAAAAAAAAAAAAAAACACATGGCGCACAAAAACAGGGATCCTTACATTATACACCTGGACATTGCCTTGTAAGTGGTGGTGTCCAACTTTATTTTGGTGTTGAAAAAGCAACATGTTTCAAACGGTTGCAAAATGGAGATCTTTTAAGCTGCGCCCTGCAAAAAGAAGAACGGGTTTCCTCAGGCAACCCCGGAGACCATTTGTGTTCTTTGTTTTTGAGGAAACCCAACCCGAGAAAAACAACGAAAAAACAAATGGCGCACAAAGAAAAACAAATGTTTTTGATCCATGTTTCCACTTACCAGGGTTCCATTTTGGTACCGGTTTTTTGAGCTTCAGCCAAATGGGGCACAGAAAGAAGGGGTTTCCTCAGGCAACAGGCCCACATCTCACAGGATGATCTCCGAGGCTTGGGCCGCCCGGTGCAGGGCCGTGGCCCCAGCGCCGTCCGGCGCCAGCAGCGCGCGGGGCGCGGCAACGGCCAAGAACCGCACAGCCTGCGTCTTTTTGGAGCACAAAAAGGGACCAGGAAAGTTTTTTTGCTTTTTTTAGGGTCTTCAAAAAGAAAAAACAAATATGTTCGCATGCTTTGTTTTTCTCATTTTCAGGTAGCAGTCTCTTGAAGTGGTTCCCTCCTTCAAGCTTCGTCCCCTGCAAACTGGCTTCCCCTTTTGACGTGGCTTCCTCAACTAAACGGCTTCCCTTTGCTTGACGGTTTTGTGCGTGCTTTTAAATGGGCTTCCATTTTGTTGATTTCAGCTGCTCACTCCTCTGAAGTGAACTCTTTTCAAAGGGTTGTCCTTCTTTCTTACATTATATCCCGTTCCTAATCAACCCGCCTTTTGCAAAGCGGTGCCCACGTGTTGAACTGGGTTTCCCCTTGCACATGTTTCCTACTTGTACAAACGCCAAGTCAAGTGCTTTTTTGTTCCGTGCTAGAAAGCTTTCAGTTGCTTCCGCCTGAGAAGCGTCCACATACATGCTTTGACGCTTCCCCTTCTTGACGTCAGCTCCCCTGTCGAAAGCTGCTTCAAGCGATCGCCCCCCCCCCCCATTTACGAGGTGTTCCAATTTCAACGCTCTGCGGGCGTCTCCGTAGTTTCGACCAGGTTAACCGTGGCTTGAAGCGGCTTGCGTGTGTTGAAGGTCGTGTCCCATGTTTGTAGCTACTTTCCTTTTCTTTTAGGTCGCTTCCGCTTCTTCGGGGGTCTCCGACTGTCAAACTGCTTTCTCATGTGCAGCAATGTACACCAGATTCGTTTGTTCCAGGCCTCGTCCCTTTTGTGAGGTGGCGAAATTCCCTTCGGCAAGTGGTTTGCTCCTTTTTTTGAATGGGTTCACCTTCTTTTTCCCCTTTCAAGCGGTTCCTCGTGCTTCAAGTGGTTTCCCTTTTGAATGTGGGCTCCAAGTTGTTCGGCGGTTCCCCCTTTCAAGCGGTTTTGCCCCCGTTTCAATGCTTGAGTCAGCTTCCTTGGCAGTTGCACCACGGCTCACGGCCACAGGTCGAACCACAGGTTTTTGCAGGTGTTTTTTGCAGGCCCGCGAGCACACCTCGGACACAGGCACCCGTGCAGCTCGCGCATGCTGGAAATTACGCTTACATGCTTCGGTAAAAGCACACTTTGAACACCCGCGTGTATGCCCACGTGCTGGAATGATCAAAACGCAGCAATGTGTCCAAGCCTGCCATATGATAAGCGCATGCTCACGCGCGTTCGCTCAGCCCTGTGTCCACGCCTGCCAAAGGATAAATCGCCGTTGGGCCGCGTGTTTCCCAACGAGGCCCCCCAAAAAAACAGGGTCACACCCACACCAACAAACACGCGCTCAAGCGGCCCCCCCTCCAAACTTCCTGAGGTCACCGGGAGTGGGGCCCACCTCTTGTGACATGCTAACGCCTAGTCCGCAGTCATTTTAAGGACACATGTCGGGTCTGTTTTTTTTTTGAGGGCACCTTTTTTGTGTCTTACGTTTTACAGGGAAAGGAGAAACACAACTTTGGTGGTTCACCTCGACAATACACACGCCGTGCGATAAGTAGGGAATGAGAAATGGAATGAGAAATGGAATGAACCCAGGCTTTGGTTTTCTTCAAGGAAGTCACCAGCAAGGCATGAGATAAATCTCGGGGTCATGAGCCATTTCTCATTCCCAGCATCTCTCGCACCGATCACAAGTTTCGGGTCTGCTTGAACCAAACAAAAATGCGACTTCAGGCGCCTCCACATGCCCACAATCCGCGGCCAAGTGGACGGCAGTCAGGTCACAGGCGTCTCGCGCGGTGAGGTCCTCAAGCGCGCTTGAAACGGCAGGCTTCCGCTGCGTGCTTGAAGCCTCTCCCGAAAAGGGTGGATGTTTTTTAGGTGAACCAAAATGGCGGCTGTTTTCCCTTTTGGTTTCTTTTAACACAACCAAAATGGCGGCTTTTGTTCCTCTTGGTTTCTTTTTAACACAACCAAAATGGCGGTTATATTTTCCCTTTTGGTCCGGTTTCCCTTTAACATCCACTAAAAAAGGCACCCTCGAAAAAGGAAAGATCCGAAAGGAGAGTCCCAAGTATGCCATCGGGGCTGCGTCTATCTTTTTCTCATCGTTTTTTGGGTTTCGAACAAACATGGCGCCCCTGACCCGAAGCCGAATGGGCAATCATTCACCATGAGCCCGTGGCAATCGTTACTTGGATCTGCTCATCCTTCGGAAATCCGTTGACTTCACAGGTTCCATGGCAGTGATGCAAATCTGGTGTGGGGAGATTACAAGGGCCTCTGGAATTGATAGATTTCCTTTCATCACTTCGTGTCTCAGGAAGAACAGCCCCCCCAGCTTGGGCAGCAGCTGTCATGGGCTTGCAAAGAATTCATCGAGGGTCGACGACCCTCGGACAAAAGTCACCATCTGCCTTTTGATGGCTCAACTGCTTGAGTCAGGCGATAGGCCAATCAGCTCTTTTGTAGTCGACATATCATGATCCGCTCAGATTTCATTGTGGATTGGGAACGCGCAGCCGTGCGACAAGAAGAAACTCTTCCGAAAACATGGGCCTACTTTTCTTGTGGTGTTAAACACCCATTTACCATCAGAGCCAAGATCCTGACAAATTGCAGGGTCCTTGTGGAAACATTGTGTTCTGGCCAAAAAATGGAGTTCATGACCTTCTAACCCGTTCCCGGACCGTTTTCGGACAGGCCACAGCACACTGGAAGCCTGTCAGCGGGGCCGACGGCCAAACGGCCAAACGGGGCCCGGGGCCCGGGCCGCTTTCGCCTCATGCAGCAGCTGCAGCACAGCGCAATGGTTGCCCAGCGCCGCCTCAGGTCTTTGGATCTCTCGAGTCCAGAAACTCCTGGGGCTTTCAATGGAAGACCCGACCCCTCCATTAGACACCCCGGGAGATTTTTGGGGGGTCTCAAAACCTGGCTGCTTGAGGGCCCTAAATTGATCCGGGAGCGTCTGGGAAACGACCATGCGCTATTTAGTCCTCTGATTTCTCCTTAGCCCCCCAACCTTTCAGACCTCTGGTTTCAATTCTAACTCTGTGTATTGTCACCATGCCCCATTCTCCGCGCACGGGAATCCTCATCGCCTAATAACTTAGCGAATTCGTCTTCCGAGCAAGCTTCGCGCAGGCGGTGCTAGCTCGGCGTTGCTGATGGTGGTCGCAATGTTACCCAGGGAGAGAAACATAGAACTGGGCTGCCTGTTTTTGGATCCCCCGCTAAAAGTGACTAACTTTTAGTGTTTGAATAGACATCTCCACTAAACACTAAAAGGCTAAAAGGCTAAGGGGATGGCTAGGAGCCACCAAGAGAACATGATGTGCTAACTGAGGAACTTGGCACACTCGCTCCCCAAAAGGTTGTGGGTGAAAAGGACACCCTCTTCTTGCTGGTAGATTTGAAAGGAGTAGAGAACTCAAAACGAAAATGAACTCGGAGGCTGGGCCTGTCATACGCCCCTTTGGCCGTTCTGCTTCGGTGTCGGTCACGAATTTCTTTCCAAGCCAATTTGTTGAAGAGACCGTGTTTTTCTCCTTTTGTAATTTTATTTATTTATTTTTTCCCCGGTGCAGGGGGAGATTCACTGCAGGGGGCCAGGTTAGCTTAAAGCTCAAGCGCCCATGTCGGTGAAGGCTGAAGCTGGCTACGGCCAAGTTTGCGGACCAACAAAGGCACCCTTGAATCAATGAACTTATTTATTGAGACGCTTGGCATGCCTCACTGGACCATGACAATTGCCCTAATTGTTCCGACATGTTCCGAACTTGTTCCATGTTCAAGGACATGTTCAATCATTTTCAGTATCGGCTTAGGCATGGATGCTTATACCACCAATATAGGCTTGTAAGGCGGTAGAACCCCCTCAAGTGGCATACTGTGGATGGACGCAAACCTGCACCACCTGAGAACCCCTGGTTTCGGAAAAACAACAACAAACGTTGTGGTTTCAACCATGGTTTCTCAGGTGGTGCGAAGGGATGTCGTCCAACAGTGCAACCTCCATGCCCCCAACCCCCACCATGTTGACCCCATATTGCTCAACCCCAGTTTACTATGGGGGTGCTCCCCTCCAAGAGTGGTCTGATTCCAACCCCAAAACCCAGAAATGGACACACACACACACACACCCAGGAATCCACAGGGGTTCTGCTTACCCCGGGGTCGTTCCCTGGAGCACTGCCCGGCAGCACGCGGAACGAACCCGGCGGCGCCTGGTGCACCGCCCGGCGGCGGAGCGGAGCCGCCGAGGCCTCCAGGTCCGTGGCCAGCAACCGCTGGACCTGCCATGGGCATGAGTTGGTGGGTGGGCGGGCGGGTTGGTGGGTGGGTGGTGGGTGGGGTTGGTGTGGGGTTGGTGTGGGGTTGGTGTGGGGTTGGTGTGGGGTCCCAAAGCAAATCAAATCGGGGTTCCCTTGAAGAAAATCATAGGGAATGGTGTTTCGCCAAGTTGTGATCGTTTTTTTTTTTTTTTTTCCCCGATAAATTTTGCCCAGAAAACAGTCGACTGGCGAAACCTTGTCAGACACTTTGCCAGACACTTTGACACTTTGTCACTGTTGCTGGGAAAAAAGGTTACAACTGGCGATCCAAATGCCCAAGGACTTGCTGCGATAGGCAGGGAATGAGACATGGAAAGAATCGTTCTGGGATTCCCTTAGGAAACCAACTCGGGGTTCCCCTGGAATGTTTTTTGTCTTTCTTTTTTTTGTAAGGGGAAAAGAAAACCAAATCAGGAAACCATAATAAATGGTTTATTGAATTCAAGGAAACCAAATCGGATGGGGTTGTTCTTTTTGGGGACATTCCTTCAGGGATCCTGCCTATCTCACCAGCAAGAGGACATGTTTCCCGTCTTTCTCACATCACATGCTAAAACACTGCTCCGATCCGGTTTTGGGATGAGTTGATTGGCATTCTGGGTTTTCGCGTCGGACATGTCATTTGCCAGCACCCAACAACTGCTTGGAAGGACATTGGGGTTTGTGATGTGGGACAAAGCAGCTGGGCATTGGTTGGTATCTGGTGAGGCACTTTAAGCCCTGGCAAAACAAAACCACAACAAAACCCCATCCGTACTTGGACCTGGGGTGGGTCTTGCTCACTGTTAGAAAGGCTGCAAGGAAGCCAAACAGCAAGTCGAACATGATGCTTACTCATCCAACATGGTTTGGCGTACCTGGACCCGATCGGGGATGCATCCTTCCGAAAGGGAAGGGGCTCTTGTGCAAGTCCATTTGCACCAAACTGATTTGCGGCGGTGTCTTGTCCTGAACACATTGGCACCCCATTTTTGACAATCACGCCGTCTGAAGAAACCAAAGCAACTGTGTCCTGGTCAGTGCCAAACTCTGGAAGCAATGCCAATAACATCACCATGAGGACTCTTGGCTTCAAATCTTCTGCATCCCGAAGGGTGGTTGAACAGGGATCCGGATGCATTATACACCTGAACATTGCAACTTGTAAATGGCGGTTTCCAACTTTATTTTGGTGGAAAAAACCATGTTTCAAATGGTTGCAACATGTATCTTTTAAGGAGCCCTGTTGAAGGGCTAGAACTTTGTTCAGATCCTTTCAAGCAGAGTCCGCCCTGAGACAAGACTGCTAAGTCCTCAAGACTCCTCAAGCCAGTTTAGACATTTTGAAGATGGCTTTTCAAGTATCCTTCAGGCTTAACAACCTGTCCACACTCGGGCGTTTGGTCAGCTTTCAAGTGTCTTGTGGGCTCAATAGAGGGGCCGGGGCTGAAAACGACTTTCATGGGCTGTTCGGAGCTTCCAAGCTGGTGAGTCCTCCAATCCGTTCCGAGTGCTCCAGAGTGCGAAGCAGTACGGAGCTGTTACGAGGCCCTCAAGCCGTTTAAGAAGTTGCTAAGTTGTTTCTGTATCTTCGGGCTTGAGAAGTGTCCTAGAGTTCTCACGAGTGCACAGAACCGACGAAAGGCTGGGATGCTGAGAGACCTCAAGCTTGATTGAGAGACATTGAGGAAGTTCAGTGACTTCAAGCTTGGCTGGTCGAGAGCCCTCAAGCCGTTTAAACTTGTTTAGGCTTTGTTAAAGGTCCTCGCAGCTGTTGGCACCGTTTCAGATTCCTCATCGGATTCAACTCAACTAGCGGCCCAGTGGGTGACCGCTTGTTGGAGGAGGCCACGCTAAAGGAAAGGCTCATGTTGACCTGCTATAGCTATACACCTTTCCGCGGCCCTGCCTGGATCCACAAAGAAAGTACACCGTGCAACTAAGAACCCTGTGCGTTCCACTAGGGACCTGGCCTACAGACTTGCTCAGTGTTGATGCTGCAAAAACATGACGGGTCCCAGGGCGGTCGCTGTACCCGCGTTGGACAGATTGAAAGGAACACCCCGCACGAGTCGCCAAATCATCTGCGAATACTACCAAACTCTTGATGACCCTGAGTTAATTCGTGTTTGCTTAGAACGCTAGAATGAGACGTGTCCACTGCAGATGCGCAGGCTGTCTTTCATGACTTTTTGTTGGCTTGGATGGCTGGGGCTGAGCCCCCGCAACAAAAGCAAGAACGCCAAAGACGTGTGAAACCCCATGGAGGCCCAGCATCGCCACGCAAAAGAGGACGCTGCTTTTGGTGGATGGGAAGCCTTTGTTCCAGGGGTTGATTCCCCATTCTTTCCAACCATCGTTCTTTCAAAAACCTGCCATTTTCCCTGGGTTTCTGGAGGTTTTCTGGAAAGAAGGATCCCTGGAAAGAATGGGGAAGCTACCCGATTTGTGAGCGCTCCTTGCGCGGCGAACCGACGAACTGCCTCCTCCACATCCCCGCGGCGAGCCGGGCCATCATCCGAGCAAAGCGCCATGTTGGATAAACTGGGCCCGTTTTCAGATTCCCCATCGAAAGTGACTAACTTTTAGTGGGTCAAATTCGGAAACCACCGAAACTACCACTACAGACTCTTGCCGCCAACCCGAAACATCGCACTTTTCTTCCCTCACTTTTCTCTTGTCGAAAAGTGCACTGGAATCGCGAAACGCCCTCTTCCAGTGGGTCCCATCTGTTGGGACCACGGACGGTGAAGCAACTCACTCACCTTGGAGCCACCAGCAATGCCGCAGGCGCCGGTGCACAAGACTTGCCTTCCTGCGGTTGCTTAAATACCAAGGCCCAACCGAAAACAGGGAGACAAGGGCGCTGCTAAGCAACTGGGACTCCACCCTGACACGTTGAACGCAGAACTTGCGATTGCAAGTCCGACCATCGAAGCCCAAACGACGTTCATCTCTGCCCGCGAATCATCGCATGCGATTGAACCCCCAGCTTTGCGAGAACCTGAGTTTTTGTCTGTGATCTCTCATCGAGTTTGTTGCTCTTGCAGCATTCAGGGAATCCACAACTTGGTCAGAAGCAGGCGACGCTGTCTATCCCGCTGTATGGCAGGCATCCTAGTTGACCGATCTGCAGAGACGGGATAATATGTTCTTCCAGCTTGAGATGTCTGTTCTGCTCTGCCAATCTGGGTTCTACCAAACAGCTTCTGCACGAGAAATCTGTCAAAGCACAGCTTGAGGCCCTTGTGCTGCATGGCGGAGCCCGCACTTTTAACCTCACACCTCCGCTCTGTGGTGAAAGCTGTTAATGCTTCCGCAAAATGCGCCTGTCTGCGCAGGGCAAAGAAAGCTTCAGCTTGAAACAGGGGTCATTGGCGCGTCTGCTCAAAGGTTTTCACGAGTTGAGACGAAATGGTCGTAAGCCCTCAGAAAGGCCTCATGTAGGGGTTGTTTGGGCTTCCTCTCTCCCCCAGCCCCCATGAAATGGCTAAGGGCATTTCGCGCAAACAAGAATGACACGAATCTAGAGGTGCTTGCACGCACCCCTGCCCCTTGGAACAAAACAAAGGACACCTGCCTGATCGTTTGGTATATACGTTCAAGCACATGTTGAATAACTCAAGCAATCTCATCTGTAAAAGCCAAGCAATCAGGTGAGGTGATGCAAGAGAACCCAGCTAAGATAGACGTGCTGTAAGATAATGCAGCTACCATAGCCCAAGCTCTGTAGCGCGCTCTGAGTTTGACACCCTGGACCGACCTCCCCGGGCTAGCCAGGGCAGGCGAACAGGTATTTCAGGCGAATCGAGCAGTGACAGTTGGCGCATTCACACGTCCCATGACGCAGCTACTCATTTCCATCACAGGCAGTACATTCACAAACCGCGGAACCGGAATTTGTCTCAGCCTCGACTCAAATATTCCTGATCTCATCGGACAAAATGTTGCAGCCACCCTGGGAAAGCACCATGTCACCACGTTCCATCGCGCCGCGCGTCGGGCCCTCAAGACGTCCGTGCAAAGGCTGCGCCTTGGGCGACATCTGCGGTTTGCAGACTTCGCATGTGAGTCACAATCAATCCCCGGTACAGAAATGGTCGACCCAGAACCATACCCGGGTTTTGATTGTCGCTCATGTGAGGCAATGCAGTGCAAATGTTCTGCCAACCTCCCTGCGCGAATGGATGCATCTCCTACAAGAAGTGAGAGCCCAGTGGGTTTGGAAGTCCAAAGATGCTATGGACACAGCGGCTTGGCTCGCAACATCCATCTTTCCCCAGGCACTAGATGCCCCAGCCATTCCAAGCATGACGCAACACCAACAGATCTAGAGCTGCAACCAAGTTTCAACACCATTGAATTGAAGCAATACTTTTTTGCTCTCACGATCCATGGGCCTGGCTAGAAGATTCGGCAAGCTCACCCAGAATGCGAAAACCCCCACCCTGATATGCCACCGAGCCTCAGTAGCCTGAGAAAAAGGCGACACCCGTTGAATAGAAGGGCCCACAAGACGGTCTGCCAACCAACAAACATATGGCTGTGGCTCAAAAAACCGGTACCAAAATGGAACCCTTGGGAAGTCGAAACATGGACCAAAACCTGCGTAGCCCCTCCTGTTTAATTTTGAGCCACACCCATATGGGTGGGACTTTTCTTCTCAGGGGCCATGTAGCTGGTGATTTCTGTCCACCACTTTGGAGGTTCCTTCATACACTTCAGGGCCATTTTTATCAGGAGCGTTCAAGAGGGTCCCCAGGCACGTCCTTTGAACAAGTGTCTGTCTCGGAGAGGATTTGTTTGGGGTAGTGAAAAAGGGGGAACCGTTTGTCAACATGGGCGCTGCGAAAACAAGACCATGAAACCAACGACGCATGGAGGACCACAGCCCAGATTCAAGAAACACTCCAGCTGTGGGACAGACTTGTTACATCTATCAAGTGATTTGGCAACTGCCCCCCTTATTCTTGGGACTCAAGCTAAGAGGATTTCCTTGCTGCACAGTGACCCTGGATCGACCAACCTCGCGAAATCGAGGGCAGCATTTGCCACAAAAGCGAAGGATCAGGGATTCTGCCGAGCAAGTCAATCGACGCTTTCTTGGTTAAGATTCCCATTCTGGTGCTTGGAAACCCTCCTGGCTTGCTAAGCCAATCCCGGACACTGAGCTCACGGCTGAAGGCTCAGAAGGGAGCGAGGAAAGCTTGCGCCTAGAGCAAAGATCAGCAAAGGCAATGGGCGAGTTGTCGTGAAAGTGGCCACTGGCACATTTTGGCAGAAACAGCCTCGCACAGTCACGAATAAAAACAAACAGCCCGTCTCTTCATTCGAGAAGCCACCTTTCCTGCCAGCCGGCTTCGTCTGCAAGCAACCGTTTCTGGCGTCCGCGGAGTCCCTCACGCTTGCCCAAAGGACCCAACTGTCAATGAACCTTCTTGGCCATGACGAGAAACTTTGTGCAAGGGAGTGGCATGTTGGGGAAATGAAGAGACTGAAAATGCAAAGTGGCTTCCTGAAGGGCAAGCTTCATGCATACCGGGCTGCCATGTTAAGTACCTCTTTTTGAGCCACAGGCATTTCAATGGGTGTCATGTAGCACACAAAAGCATCGCTTGGCGCATTGTTTTCCATTGGCTTCTAGAGGCTACACACATTGAATGGGTCGATTTCCTTCTGGCTTCTCATTCAGACTCCGCTCGCTAAATTGAGAACTCTCAAAAGAGTCACTCAAGCATGCCAAGATTGATACGTGGGGCTCCATTTGTTCAACATTCACAATCCCTTTCGGATTCATAAACCCTTCGGATCCACAGCAACGCGGCTCCCCTGCTGGGCTTCAAAATGGAGGGCTGGCCAATTTGACTTTCCTCAATCACTGGGACACCACAACGTGCAACAAGGGCCGCCCTTCCTTTTGTAGCACAAGGAGAGGATCTTGCAAACGGACCTGAACAGCTCGGTTTGCATGGGCATAGATTCGGGTGTCAAATAAGGGATCTCGAACAAACGGTGAAAAACAACAACAAGAACATGAACAACTCGGAAAACTACAAAAAGACACATGACACATTATAAAACTAAGAACACATGCACAAATGGAAAAAAAACAACAGCAAACAACATGCCCTTTCGATGAACATGATGGGCGCAAAAAAACAGCAGCGGCCCGGCGCCTGCACAGCGGCAGTAGAAACCACCTGAGAGAGGGAACCATCCCCCCAAAAACATGTCGGCTTCAAGTTGTTTTTCTCTTCACACATTACCTCCGGTTGACTTCTCCCCATGTTTTAGGCAGCAGGCACGAAGGTTTGTCCCAAAAGAAACCAAAAGAGGTGATGTTCTTTTGGTTGGCCATAATTTTGCATTCGTAAGAATCAACCAAACTCGGGCTGTTGAGTGTTGCATGGCACTGACGAATGAGGAATAAAGAAAGGCAGAAAGGCAGGAAGGCAGGAAGGCAGGAAGGAAAAGGAAGGACAAGGAAGGAAAAGGAAGGAAAAGGATGGAAAAGGATGGAAAAGGAAGGAAAAGCAAGGACAAGGAAGGAAAAGGAAGGAAAAGGATGGAAAAGGAAGGAAAAGAAAAGGAAGGAAAAGAAAAGGAAGGAAAAGAAAAGGAAGGAAAAGAAAAAGGAGGAAAAGGAAGGAAAAGGAAGGAAAAGTTAAGCAAGGTCTGCTTGTGATTGTGGGGATGCTCTGGAGATGTTGGGGATTGCAATGTGTGCTGGTAATGCTGCAGATGCGCGTGCCAGCTTCGATGAAGCCTTCCTTCCTTCCTTCCTTCCTTTTCCTTCCTGTTCCTTCCTGTTCCTTCCTTTTCCTTCCTTTTCCTTCCTTTTCCTTCCTTTTCCTTCCTTTTCCAGACCACCCCGTAAATCAACCCTAAACTGCTCTTCTTGACTCGCCCTGCAAAAAAAGTTAAACCTCATGGGTGGCTTGATCAGAAAAGGGTGGCTGAACGACCAAGCAAGCTCACTACCCTGCTTAAACTAACAGGGCCTGGCTTTAACAACAAGGAGGAAAACCGTTGCGCCAGTTTGAGGGGTCCGAGTCCTGAGCCGAGGTCCATGAACATTCAATGGAAGGATCTTATTTTTTTAAATCCCGTTATGACCGGTGAGGTGTTTTCATCGACCAAACCCTGAAACCAAGGCCGGGTGCTTAGGCTGGTTCCTGCGGGCTAAAAGAAGGGTTCCGGTGGGCTTGTGGTTCCAGGTTCACTTGGAGAGTGATTCACGCGTTTCTTTGTGCTTTCGGATGCGAAGTTAGAGGTTGTGGGATTGGAGGTTATGAGTTCGGCTGGTGGTAAATTCATGCACATGGCGGGCTACCTTCCAGGGAACGGCCTTTCCAGAGGTGGAGTAAAGGAATGGGATTGGTCCGCCCATTTCGAGTCAAGCCCCTTCGAAAAACAGCTAGAACAAAACGGGGAAAATGGACCGGAACGGAAACTTGCCTTAAGCGCCGGGGAACATGGGTGGAAACGGTAGCTCTTGAAAGGTGGAATGTTGTACCCGATTTGGAACCCAGAATAGGATTCCATGTTGACTGATGTC